ATGCACATATATATATATATATATATATATATATATATATATAGCCCCTGAATATTTGTATAGTTTACTGCAACCGAATGATAATTTACATTACGCCGTCGAAAGCTAGAGGAAATAGTTCATATCCGCAGTCCATCGCAAAAATATCTCCCGAACAAGAAGTGCTTCGCACCCAAGAGTGTGTTTTATCGCTGCATTCTAAAATGCACAGTTTAATGGGTACTGACGCATAAGAAACATCAATTGCTCAATGGATATCTCACGAAAATGAACGTTACTCTTCAGTGAGCACAGATGACACACGATTATTGGGCTCAGACACGCTTATTCACTGATGTAAACCCTGCCAGAATTTTCGCTTCGTCTGTTTTCTAAATGCAATTCGAACCAACTACCGAATTATCCAGACACTCTGGTGAATAGGTAGATAGATGTCTTGGCAATCACTGATACTCTTGAAGTACATAGAAAGGGTAGGGGGTAAACATTTGCCGAGTGTTCACCGAAGAAACATCACTTGAATACAAAACGCTTGGCCACACGAGGTTTGACCTCAATGGGACTCATCAAGAAGGAATCGGACACTTGCCTCGTCGTCCAAGACGATGATAACCGCAACTTATATCGGCATTCAAAGGCTCCTAACAAAGTTAAAGTACCAGATAGTTATTGTGGATAAAACTACACGCGACATTGCAGCCAGAATAGCTAAGTGATAGTAGGAATCGCTTCGCATTTGCCGTCCGATAGAAAAACATTCAAGGACAGCAGTGATTTCTGAAAATCAGATCGTTTAGATAAAACAGCAATTTAAAAAATGTACGAAATGTTGCCAGAGCGACTGCAAACAAATGAGGTTATCTTACATCAATAATAAGTTTGCCATTTGTTCGCCGCCGCTCTCGAGCTTTGGCCTTCTTATCACGACTCTCGATAATTTTCTCTCGGGTTGTTCGATATTCCAGAGCGAACTCAGCCAGTGTACGACAAAATTGTCCCACAGGCATGTTCATCGAGCGACTGGGCGGATAACCGAGGTATTCCAGCAGATGGTGAAATCTTGAAGGAATGGAGGAAATAAGATGATGGAAAAAGTACTCAAAAAATTACAATGGAACAATCTTGATATGGTATAAGACCTGCAACGTTCGAATGTACTCACAGACTACCTTACCTAGCCATCAACTTTCGATAGACCAGCTGAAGGCAGATAATTCGTTCCATGGCATCCGTAACAAACTCATACAATCTAAAACACAGATAAAAGAGAGCGCGATGAATGAGCAAATAGAAGTAGTATTTCAGAAGGAATACAGCGGGAAACTGTTAAACGGTTAGTTGCTTGGAATCAGTGGCAATAGAATCTGAAGCCCTCTTGGTATGGTATCCCAGAGTCCAACTGGGCTTGTGACACGAGGGGTTAACCTTGATTTATATATCACCGCTTATTCCCAAAAGAATGAATGCTATGCCAAGGCCTCTTCATGTACACAAATGTTTGGACCCTGGACATTACTTTTTCTGTGGGGTAGTGATATACTGTGCCTGAAGAGAGAAAGGTCCCATCAACAGCTATTATGTGGGCTTGTATTATACCTAATTATAATGTTTGGACCCTGGACATTACTTTTTCTGTGGGGTAGTGATATACTGTGCCTGAAGAGAGAAAGGTCCCATCAACAGCTATTATGTGGGCTTGTATGATATTCTACCTAATTAATATCACATTGGTATCACCCTAAGTTAAAAGTAACGACCTATAACGGGGGCTGCATATTTGATATCAATCGCAGTTGGCTTTCAAGCAGTAAAAGGACGCATCAGGGTTTTCGTTTAAATTGGTACTTTCTCTGTGAATACACCCGTTTTTACTGCTTAAACCAATAGAACGCCTGAATCACACGAATGCCCTCTAAATCTGAATAATGCGCCATCATTCTTATCTATCGATCGTACACCGGTATTAAAATTCTCTATTTCTTCCTAGTGGGATTACTGATACAACGCGCCTTCTACCTGACAACTTTCAACTACTGTCAAACTCCTCAATTTTACGTACCTTTCTGGTTGTGAATTGCAAAAAATAAATTGCCCGTCACTTCAGACGTAACCACTCGTCCAATAGGACGATTAGTACTCGTTACTTTAAAGTACTACTGCTGACTAAAGGTAAAAAAAGAGTCGTCACCAAACGACAACCACTGCTCTAGAATAGTTTGTACGAAAAGTATTGTCACGAGAGTGTTATCATCCAGGAAGCTAATTATAACAAGTATTTACTTGGCGTTCTTTTGTTTTTCTTTCTCCGAATTGAAGATCACTCGATAGTGTTCCCAAGCTTGTTTACTGTCTCGTTCCAGTTTGCTCAGTTTTTCGGGTAGTTCTTCCCAATCGATGCGATGACATCGACACAACGCACCGAGGTCGGAATGTATATCTGTGTGAACGAAGAATATTCGGTCGTTATGCACAGTCAATTCAGTTTGCCATATCGGATAAACACTAGCTGCCATACACAATGACAATGCATCCCCATGTGCAAGCTCGGTTTCTGCGAAACGCCATGACAGTGAACTTGGAGCAGTTACACTCACGTTAACACCAAGTTCCGCCAAAAAGTAACTTGTTTCAAAATTAATGAGAAAATGGTATTCACTAGAGTGGGGAACATCTGGGATGTGGTAACAACAGTAGGTAAAAGAATCAAACAAGTATGTGGCATATATATCATTATGCATGAGAAAACTCTAATAAACGACCTACCTCGAATAAACTGCATCGTTTAATAAACTAAATAGGTGCATATCCAGTGATGTAAAGAATGTACATAAGATCAGCACTCAACAAACAAGCCGAAGAGACAGAATCAGTCTTACTACGGGCTCTAGCTTGCATACGTAAAATCAAGTGAGAACTCACAACCATCGGGTGTTAAATGAAAGTGGTGGATTCTAAATATCAGCACCGGATGTGAAGCGGGTGACATCCACAACCGTCCGTACTGAAAGGCGGACAGATGTCTTTGCCGGACCAGTGAGACGGCGTCTTGAGGCGGCAAAATGCCAACTTGGTATTGCACTGCACTATTAGAAACGCGACCGATGGAATTTAGTCATAAGCGAGGTATTCAAGGATCTGTTTTGAATACTGAGATAATGAGTAAACTGGTCTTGAAAACAAGCCTTCCTTGTCTACGGTTACACTGATCCTATATCTCAGCAGCGTTACGAAATATTGCGCACCCCTTCAACCTCATGGCAGAACGTTTGACAAAATACCATCGTTAGTATTTTGACTGGATTAATTTTGCAATCCTCATTTGCTTATGCTTGGTACGCTTTACGTGTTGATTTCAGTATTCAACATCAGACGAAGTTATGAGGGTCACAGAAACATGCACCGTGAAAAAACTATTTCAATAAACTTGACGCAATCGCAAATTATCTGAGTTAGCCCTGTGTTGCATTATCCAGGCAATAGCGTTCTTTTGCATGCACACTACACTCAACCAAAACACGCTCTTACCACATTCAGGACAGCAACCGCAACGGTAAGAAAACAATGAAGGCGGATGTAGTAGATTTTGGGATTCGAGGTCGATGTGAGCTGAGGAACCACCTTGAATTGAAAAGTGCTTCGTTGGTGTCCGACATTCGAGTATTTGTAGAACTGATACAGTTGTCAAGTATGGTAATGTATCCTTTTTATAACTGTGTCGCCCAAGATGCTATTGGCGATGAGATACGCTGTTCCCCTTCTTGCAACCGCTTATTATTACCAAGGGTCCGTTTCCAGTCCAGACATCATCAATGACGTTACCTTAGCAAACTAATTTCCAGCTCGGTAAACCAAGCAGTACCCTGATTTTGGCCATATTTCGTCCCCTGCTATTTTTATTCAAACGCTTTATTTATTCAGCTAGTTTGGTTTATCGACCAAGTACTTCAGTAATATGTAAACGTAAATAGACGAACTTTTATGTTGAATTCTCAGATACCATGTTTTACGGCTAGCACTGCATTTGTTTGTCTACCACTGCTACTAAACTGCAGCACTTTGTGCGTGGGATGGGATTCTGCGTCTGGGGGAGACGGTGTGAAGACGACCAGTGCACTTAACGACCTAGAAACCAAAAAGATTATTTTTCTCCATTACTATCTATTATTAGTTCGTGTTTTTCATCAACCAAATTGATTCCTCTATGGCATACACTCATGGGCCAATCAGCCTTTAAACAACCCACCATTTGGTGACTAGAGTAGGCCGTATGTTGTTTGGATTTCACGAACAGATGGAACTTTACTATTGACAATTACAAATATAACTAATTTTGTAGATTAAAGCCGAAATTATTACTAAGCTATGCTTGGGTCGGTGCACAGATTCCACACAGATTCGAGGAAGATAGTCCAAGCTTTGATCCACGTTGGATAACTCAAGGCTTGCTGCACCAATCTCACCTCGGCCGTTCTCACTGCCTTTGAAAAGTCTACGAAGAAAACGGATCGGATTTTAGGTTCGTTTTCCCTTCTTTGTACAAACCTACTAGAACGTCCCCTGGGATTATTTGGCTCCTACGATAACAAAACGGGTTTCGGTAGACATGGAAGCTAGCATGTCGATGACTAGAGCATTTCAAAGGTGGGCGGGCGGGCGGACGCTTTCTTGATGGATCCATTTACTACCTCTGTGACGTTTATACTTACAGAGATGACGAAGATAACTGATGAACTCATCTAGCATCCTCCATGTGCGCATCATCCTAACAGTGGTACACAGCTGCGAGAGTTTAGAAGGCTTCTTAACGTCCACCCTAACCAAGCTGTGATAACAGTTCTGACTCAGCCTGATTGCTCTACAAAATATCCACCTACCGGTACTGTCAGGAAACTGGTCCAGGACGATACAACAGACATGATGAAGCATGCTGTTTTTGTTCTTGGTATCCTTCACCTCGGGCAACCGAGCCAAGTAGTCAAACGTAAAACCACGGAAACTGGTTCCGTTGAGGAAATTTCCAATAGAGAGGAGGGTGGATATCACATAACGCAAAGTCTTGCACTGGACAACTTCATTGATACCCTGAAATGGAGAAGAATGCAGCCACAAGTCGTGTTATGAAAGAGTTGGGTTTGCAAGCGCATAGTTTGTGCACAGGACAGTTTAATGAAGCGTGAGTCAGTAAACTCAGACTAGGTTGAAAAAATATAAATCGATATCCAGATAGTTCCAAAAGGTTTTGAGCATAGACTAAAAGTGGGCCATCTTGTTAGTTAGATGTATCTACCTGCATACCGGCTAGTTGGAGGGTACAGCATTGACCAAGATACACAACTTTCGGATCAGCATCGATGAGTTAAACTTGAAAATAAGAAATTGTTATGTGGTTGTGCGCAGAGAAACCATGACAATGCACGCCAAGGTGTGCTTTCAACATTCCTTACTTGAGTTCTGTAACCCTGGACGCAAGACGAAAACAAAAAATAAGAAAACGCCGGAGCACAGTAGTCCAGAAACCTGTTGTATGTACACAACCTGATCATTGAGGCGTCGTTTTCTACTTGGGCTAAAGTGTCTAGTGCCGATCGATCGTACAGCGCACGGAATAAAGCAACCGTGAGTAAAGTTTCGCGAGGCTTGTCCGATAAGAAACCTTGGGAACAAAGGAGACAACAAGATAATTCCAAGAAATCTTGTTCGTTCGAAATCTCAATAAGGGAAATCATGCACCAACAAAAAGCTCGGCTCACTGGCAGATAATCAGCGATCAAATGGGAACACATCAGTGTCATATCTGTACACCCGATGAATACGTATGAAAGGGGCTCGTTGTGAAAGATTTCCATTGTAGTTGATTGCCAGTTGAAAAGCTGCAAGTCCCAGGCGAAATCAGATCTTTTCACCCTTCCGTTTAGGGACGATATGCATCTTGGAAGCAGCTCTAGATAGCCTGAGGTTTTCCGCTATTACTCCTTTTCTACAGTACCATTAACATCAAATTTTTATTTCTTCTCTGCATACAGTTTTCCGGTGTTCTTTAAAATCATACTCCGCTGAGACCTTTCTCCCCAAACCCAATCCGTCTCGGGAAGAACACACAAATAGGCTCTGTTAGGACTCAGTTTATGAGGTTCAATATGCATTGCCACTATCGCTGAATTTACAATTATCCGGAAAAATGATGAAATGATCTCATTCTTGAGATGTTCTTACTGCGCTGCTATGTCTGGATTAAAAGAAACGTGATAGTATTTGACGTAAATTTAAGTTGGAACAACTCGATCTTAACCAACGAATGGGGATCTGGAGAGAAAAAATAATGTCCTGGATAGCGGTCGGTACGTTTATGAATTTTCGCCTGAAATCTGGAAATCAGTTCTTTAAAGGATAAGATGGGACTCGTAGGGACTTCCTATCAGTGTGGTTACTGGTCAATCGACCACACAAATGACCGGAAGATGTGAGGTAGGCAACTTCCTGCATAAGCGGCAGTGGCTATGAACAAGAATTCTCTGTAGCAATCACGATCACATTATAAGTGATTCAAAGACTGTATCATTTTGTTATGAATGTACCAATGTTGTTTTGTCAGTCCCAATGGACAGAACCAAGGATGAAGTAACTCTTCGAATCGAGAAGTCTAGCTGAGCTTTTGCCATCATTTGTGAAGACCGAAAACGGGTGGCCAGTCTATGGCCTGGCAGTGAAGCATGAACTCACTTAGCCAACAACTTGGTCATGTTATCAAGCTGCCATTTCCCTGGCTGGAGACTCCGAGACAAGATAAACCAATGGTTAGTGACTCTGACAAATATGGCCCCAGTGGCGATCCTACGTGAAAGCAATTGTCCTCAATATGTAGCCCTAACACTCCCCCCATATTGAACAAACAGAACAATTTGCCCATACAATGTGGTTGTCATTCCCCGATTCTTCCTATGGTAGAAGAAAGACTGGTGGCATGGCAGTTTGGCACCGAAAGGGTGATATAACGTACGAGTTAGTTCGAGGTTACTATATTACCTGCTAGTGCCTTGCACTGTCACAACCCATTAATCTTGCTGGGTTGCTTTTCGATAAACCCAGGCAGGTTAGGCAGTCACTGACTGCGAACCTTGATCAGAACTGGTGGAACGTCCTCGGGCCCACTAAGTGGGTGGAATTATGCATGCATGCACTTCTGAGGCTATCTGTAAGATAACTAATCGTTCAGCAATAACACCCTTCTGGTGCCTAGCTGCTATGTCACCTAAAGAAATCACGAGGGCTGAGATACTGCCAAGTTGCTCAAATGAACATAACCAGCCGCATGTGTGTAAAAACAAGCATAATAGCAGTCTGGGGGGTGTTCGTTTCTATCGGTCAACCTGTACATATCGTATAAACTGAGTTTTCGAAACCATAGGTAAGTAGGAGTACATTAATTGTTTAAAATTCAAAGGTTCGCAAAAAACAGTCCGTCAGGTTTGTTTGCGAAGGAAAGATCAGTTAAAACTGAAATGGTTTAGATGATAAATCGATCTTCCTCACATTATCCGACGAGATCCGACCGTGTGCCCAGTAAGCGGATAGATGTTGAACATTCGAATTGAGGGGGCTGAAGCGCACATAGGTTCAACTATAACCGATAACCGATATGCATTCGTGAAGCACGGGTGTTTTGTAGTACCCCACCGTGTGCGAAGGCGATTCAGAATCAACGTACAAGAGTGTGAAAGAAAAGGTGAACATGCACACTATACCAGCATCTTCCGAAGTTTGGTCATCTAAATTCGTAGATATTCATGGTTGGATATTTTCAACAAAACCTAAAGCATTACGAAGCATCACAAACTTGAAAATAAGGTCAGCCCCAGAAAACCCAGTCATACGAATGCTTTCGACATTATTGAGTATGACCTTGTAGGCTAAGAAAGATCAAGAACCAACGCTTTTGTTAAAATTTTCAGACTGTACCCCAGACGCTCGTTACACTGAATAGGACGTTTCCGTTTGCATAGTTCCCTGCACAGAGGAAAAGGAAAACTCACCTGTTTCAGATCTGCTAAAGGATCGGCCACTTCCTTCTCAGTGCTTTCATAGTCCAGTTTGAACAACCATAATTCCAGCCGGGGTTTCAGAAACGTGATTTCAGAAAGAGTTATTAGAAACTGTTCTGCCTGACCGAGGGGTAGGCCATTCTGTTCAGCTTTGGCTTTTAAGATGGCTTCACACTCTTCTGGAGTTGGCAACATGGAGGTGAGAAGTTTCTGAAAAGGGCGAAATAGACAGTCATAGAATAATGTTGTCGACACAGCAACGCATTTCATTTGCGCAAAAGAGATCCATAAAACCTTATCCAAGACAGATGTACAGAATGAGCTATTCCACCGATGGTAAACGTCGCAAAAAATGACGAGTTGAGGCGATGTGCTATGAGCAAACAAAGATCTCCCCATTATTCGTTGGTCGATTGCATTTATACAAAATACACAGAAAATTAGGCGATTTATGCTGCATATCACTCTGTTTTACTTGAGCGTATTTAGAAGAAAGATCACCATGCACCACGGAAGGAATTACATTCGAATTTTAGGACCAGGAACCCCATCTGTAATCCATTAAGATCCGAGTTCCATGGGTGACCCAGTTTTTCAAAGCCAGATGAATTCGACGTGATACTGCTCTGCTTTCCATTTCAAGAGGGAGTTCAGATTCTTCTGGACAGCCGAAGTTTGAAGTCTACCCAAATAGATAGATGATAATCCTTCAACCGTGACACTGTTCTGGTGGTTAGCTGCCACGCCACCCGAAGGAAGTAAAAGAGGTGAAATGCTGTCAGGCTACTCAAGCTTAGAAAGGAGCAATCGAGATCCTGTGGTTGGGTTCGAACCACGGACTTTCCGGTCAGTGAAATCACATTCCAACCATTGAGCTATGTCGAGCTGATCCCATTAGAACAAACTAGGATATTCCGAATTTCAGAGACATGTGGTGTCTAAACAGTATGTGACCCTCGATAATGAACCCATCCATGGATCAATACATTCGCAAAGTTTCTCACAACGGAAGCAAATAACGGCTTTTACTTAGGACAGCAATGTCAGGTGATTAGTGCAACTGATAGACGTCCGGCAATCCTCCTCACAATGAAGTTGGCTCCTCTGTAGAAGCTAGTTAGTCACAAATATATGGCTGCAATCTAATCTTACACAACCAATTCAAGTGCTGAACAAAATAAGTGGAAATGGAATGATGGCAAGTTCACTTAGCCAAATATGTTGGCCATACCTACAGCTTAACCTGTACCAGTAGAAAAACCCTTCATGTGGGATGAGTAGCAGTTATTCAAGTTATGTCGATTAGTTGCCTTCAAGAATTTTAACACAGAAGGAAAAGACCATGTCATGTGGGAATAACCCCAAATTCTGTTAGTTTGTGTAGGCTTAAGTACATGTCATTCGAGGTGAAACAATTATACAGTTATTCATAAGGGACAGACGGCAGCAAGCTATACAAAATACACAGTTGGTAATATGAAAGACCATTGGGGTTCTGCTCACGGGCTGCAGTTAGGTGGACGGTTTGTACAACAGCTCTTTGGCACTTCATTCCATGCTGTTCTGTCGGAGTTATTTAAATTGGTTGAGAAATTTCACAGTATTTTGAAGTGCTAGTTCTCCGCATAGAAAGCAAACCGACTGGCGACTCACTTCGATTCCCTCGCGATTGATAATCGACGGGTCCATTTTCAAAATTGCCGTACTAATTGCACGGGGAGGTGGAAGCACTTTCATACCAATATTGATAGCGTTTGAGCGTTTCACATCCAGAACTTCGATTTTCCGAAGTCCAGCATCTTGTTTCTGATAGGGGCGGGTATACCAAAACGGACAAAAGTTGTGTTGATAAGCATAGCACTCATCACCATCATCATCATCTATATATATATATATATATATAATATTAAAAGCTACAGAGTGGAAAGAAGAGAAAAAGGGTGGGTGAGGAAGTGGGCCTAGTGCTAGCCTATGTCAAGCATTCTGAGGTGCCTACACCTCCAAAAGCTCAATCAGACAATCTGGAAAGAAACTGACAGCACTAACGCCACTGACATCGATTAGCCACCATTTCTTGCAACGTCATCAGGCAAGTACAGACAGGGCCACGGTGACCCCATCCTGGAAGGCGTACAACACCAACAACACCCAAACTCTTCGTGATCTCTTTTATGCCTTTCTGCCAAGTTATGTGCTGTCCGATTCGCGTTTTGTGCCAACCTGAAACGTAGCACGGAGAACAACACTCACCTCGGTAGACTGTCTTTTGGCATGCGTAGCACATGACCGAGCCATCGTAGTCGATGATGCTGGAGATTTTCTCGGATTGAAGTGCCTGCAGCACAACCAAATACCCGTTTTCTAACCCTCTCGTTACTAACACTCTGACGCAATCCAAAACCAGCCATGCTTCTAAGGCATCGGCAGTCAAAAAGCTGAAGACGCCTCTTCACATCGTCCTCTGTCCTCAGAGGCTGTCTCGAATCCATACAAAAACGCAGCCATTAATGTAGCCTGATACACACGACCCTTAAGATCTAGTGGGATACATTTTTGACGCCACAAGTGACGCAAATAAGCAAACGTGATTCGAGCCTCTGTGCTGACTTCATCAGGCACACTACCGTCATAGCTAATACAAATACAGAGGTTTGTAAAGTGTCTCACAATCTCCAGCGATTCTCCTTGAACTGTAAGAGATATGTTCGGAGACTACACATTCTGAAGCATGACTTTGCACTTTGAAGGTGCAGTGCGCATGCCAAAAGATGGTATGTTGGTGGTCAGTTTATTCGACAAGGCTTGTGGTTCGCTTTGGTCTGCGAACATTGAAGGTGGCTAAGTAGACAGGCTTTCGAGTTTGAAAACAGACTTCGACGTGTTTAGGGCTGTGGCTGAACTCAGACGTACAGAAGCTGCAGCTGCATGTGATGCAGGGCGAGCAAAACGGTCAGTCCTAGAGCTGGGATCTGCGAAGAAAGTATTCATATTTGGGCTGGAAGGGGTGGAGGATGGAAAACGTGAAATTGGAAGAAGGGAGGCGTCAGCAGTAGCATGTTTCCGCTTACGCGCCCTGCTGTATGCAGCAAGTAAGACGACCCGGCTGATGGCACCACACGACGGCCGACGTGGTATGACAATATTATTAGCTGTGAATGTCGTGGTTGTACGAGGGCTCGGATACTGCCAGGACGCCCACACCTAGGCGAAAGGACGATTAGGGTCTTTAATCAAAGCCTTTGGCTCAAAAGCCTAAAGGCAAAGCAGCGTTGTTGGGCTGGAAAAGCAAGTACATTACCATTTTACGGAACACACCATGCATGTTCCAACCCCCAACCTGCAACGCCAGGAGACTATGTTCATCAGACCTCTACCCACGGACCAACCGAGTATGAGAGACTGTGTCGCGCGGACACCTCCCAGAATAGATAAACGGGTCGACGAGGTGCTGCCACCGCCACATCACGGTAAGGTCCAGTCTCTTCGCGATGGCACATATCACTTTGATGTAGCTGGACTCCACCGGAACCAGACACACTTCCATCAGAGCTAATACAACTACCGAGGTATGTAAAGTTTTTCATATTCTCCAGTGATTCTCCCTGAATTTTAAGGGATGTGTTCGCAGATGGCACGTTCTGAAGCGTGCATGACTTTGCACTTTGAAGTTGCAAGGCGCTCCGCTTTGGTCTTTAAAGATGAGGGCGATGTCATCTGCGTACTCCAGATCGACAAGGCTCTCACCAGCAACAATTTGAACACCGGAGTTGTGAAGACCATCCAGTGTTCGCCTCATTATTTCATCAATGACGAAGTTGAATAAGAATGGAGAGAGTGCACATCCTCTTCCGACACCACCATACACTCTCACCCGCCCTGAAGTATGTGAATGTTGGGATCAGATTATGTTTGTATAGCCCAAAAAAGGCCAGGTCATTATCAGCAGTTAAAACAGCACCAAAGACAAATGAGTTGAAATCAGGTTCGCATTAAAAGTCGCTGGTTAGAGAACACATTCCTCCACCCTCTGAAAGTAAACGATTAGTAGCATACACACCGCAAAAGTTAGTCTAGGCTGGAAAATAAAATGGACAAATTATTGGTAGAAGCCTAAGGGATAAAGATTACCGGACACATATGGTAAAAGCCTTTCAATGCATTAAGTGATTTAGCACCAAATTAACGGAAGACTATCGATAAAAAGGGGATAATAGGGACAGATGTGTGAATAGCGCTCAGTACGTAAAGGCCAACGGACGCGGGTGATATGAGCGAGACAGATCAGATAAGTGATGTGTTTCATACATTCCTTTCCTGAGTGTGGACAAAACACCTACGTATAGCTATATATATATATATATATATATATATATATAT